ATTAATACCAATTGCTCTGGACAACCATTCATTACCAACACCTCTTCTTGGCAAAATGCCACATATAAAAGGGCGCCCCCCTTCTTCCTAATTATGTCTATAGCTGTCCTGAACATTCTAACTAAATCCTCACTTCTACGCTTGTCTACATCATTGCCTCCAGCACTGAGGCAAATAATAGGATTGATCCCATTACCGTTCATGATGTTGTCAAGCCGGCTAACAATGTCCTCCATCCCAGCCCCAGGAAAGCAAACCCTCTGTCTCCTACTCTTGTTCTTCAAGCAGAATGCCCTATCCATGTATCTAACCTGGCTATCCCCAACAAAAACAATATTCTTACCTTCCTTGTTGTCGTTCGTCGTGACGATCCCAGTAGTCGACTCACATTCGTCGGGTAGCACCGAGAATACGTTGGAGGTTTCCACAGGATTTTCCACAGCAGTCTCTCTCTTCTTCATCGTTTCTGGCTTTCCATTCGTCTTCTTGATCGTCAACTTCGTCGTCCCCTGCTGTCCAGCCACTGACCACGATCCCTTCTTGACCTGAGGACTCGAAACAGGAGGACTACTACGAATCCTCTTGTTTTCCTCGGTCAATCGCCGTATCTCCATCTTCGCTGCCCTCAATTCTTCCTTAAGTTGCTGGTAAAGTTGCTCGATGGAGGGCATCTTGGTTCAGTCCACGGGAGCACACAAGACACTTCTTCACAGAGTTAAGTACAGGTCACCACTCACTGTGTGACGAAACGTTTCCTGAATAAAGATTCCCATATGCTGCATAAGTGTCTCAATCTTCAACTTGTCGGTTTTCCAAACCATTCATCACAACTGCCTAGTAGGGTTATTGAAGCTAAAACCTTGGGTAGTTTCAAATTGAGGTTGGATAAATAGATGAGTGAGAGGGGTCGGATTTGAGTGGGGCTTGCACATGAGTAAAATAAATTTATCAAAGCTTACTGTTTGGGTAGCGTTGCAAATGAGTTGGGCAAATATTCTGTTAGTGGGATGGATCTGTGTAGGACATGCCTAGTATGGGCCAACAGGCCTGATGCAGTGTTCCTCCTTTCTTATGTTCTTATGTTCACTGGCTGATGTTTAATACGTATAATAAAGAGCCCAGAACAACTGGTTATTCTTTTTAATGTGATGAATGGTTTGAAAACCGACAAGTTGAAGATTGAGACACTTATGCAGCATATGGAAATCTTTGTTCAGGAAACGTTTCGCCACACAGTGGCTTCATCAGTCCAATACAAAGAGGAAGGCGTAAGGAGAGGAGGAGTATGAGGTAATCAGTCCCTCAGCCTGGAGTCGATGTGTTCAGTCCATCAATCTTGTAGAATGTACAGCATAGGACCGTAGACGTGGCTTATATACTGTAGTGAGGTGAGGTGAAGCAGGCGGAGGCGGGGTCATAGTGGTACCATCCACTAGTCGAAGTAGGTCTTCGTTCAAAGGTTGAACAAGTGTTGAAGGATTCTTTGTAACAAGATCCCATGATGCTACAGTGTCTTTTTAATGACCGCAAGTTGAGTATGTAAAGAAATGTGGACAAAACATTTATGTACAGTTCAGGACATGTAAATAAGTGTCTTTTTCCACATCTTGTCGGCATCACCATTTCTTCATGAAAAGAAATATTTAATGTGAGGTTCTTCAAAATTGTTCGACATATTACGATGGTTGAGAAAAGCGCAATGAATGAGGATCAAGAGGAAGGGGAGGATGAGGTGTTAAGTTTTAAGTCTGTCATCTACCCGAGGCTGTATATATCTAGTACACCACCAGTCAAGAATACTTTAATCCTGTTAAGTAACAGGACACAAATGCAATTAATGTAACATTTTATTGTGACAATGTTTCGCTCTCCAGGAGCTTCATCAAGCCGTTACAGCTTGATGAAGCTCATGGGGAGCGAAATGTGGCCACAATAAAATTTTACATTAGTTGCACGTGTGCCCTTTAACTTAACATATTGTAGGTAATTCTACCAATATTAATACTTTAATCCTAAAATTGGAATTAAGGTAGACTCTCAGCGTATACGCCTCACGGAGTATATATCTTTGTCCCACACAAATTTACTGATCCTATTAACATACCCTGCCACGGGCGGGCATAGAACCCGCGATCAGTGTCATAAAACTCCAGACCGCGGGTTCTAACCCCACCCGTGGTATGGTTTGTTTGAATATCAAAATGGTATACAATACCGACAGGATGATTGTTAAGACACATAGGCAACACTTAAGCAACTTTATTCTGAAACGTTAGTTAGAGTTAGTTACAGACTTTGGAACAGGACTTCTCCAGGCTGAGGGACTGACAACCTCAAACCTACGACTTTAAGGGTGATGGACTGATTACATCGTCTTCACATCTCTACTGCTCCTGCCTATTTTCTGTACTCGACTGAAGAAGCCTACTGTGTAGGCGAAACGTTTCGGAATAAAGTAGCTTAAGTGTTGCCTATGTGTCTTAACAATCATGGTTTGTTTGCAATCGTATCATTACGATTTCGTAAGTCCTATTAACATCTTTGCTTGACAAAAGTTTGAATCCAATCCATTGAGTCAAAATATTTAAAAATCTCTCAAAGAATGATAAAAATGAACAGCTGTTCTCGCTGGCAACTCTGTCAATAACTCTAAATTTCCGAAACAGCGTCACTGAGCAGTCAGTAAAATTACACGTTACTCACAGCAGCTGCAGCGTGAGGCCAGCCACACCCCTCATGTGTTGAGTGATGCTGCACTGCTAGGAGCAGTTCCCGCGAAGGCTTATAAATTTGTTAGATATAAAGCTTATCGATTGTAAGCGGGTTATTTAGGCTGCATATCACCGGTACACTAAAATCAGGAATAATTCACAACACTAGAAGGAATCGAAGAAAACTCATTGAATGTACACAGAGGGTATAAACACGTTGGCCACAATATTTTTTTGTTACCTCTGCAGAAATGTGTGCAGACTAAATATGAGTGATACTAGCAAATACACAATTGAACAACGGATCCAATGTCTGGATCCACGAACGTCCACAAACAGGAAAGAAAATGTGAGAGGCGCACCTCGATTTCCCGCAACGATTTCCCCACAATCACTCATACTACTGTGCATACTACGTATTACATGACAGTCAATATAAATATAAACCCAACTCTGAAACTTCCTGGAAGGCTGCAACAGAACTCACAGATATAACACAAGATACAAATGCTTATTTGATTTCCCCAGAGTACGACTCAGCCTGAGTAAAAACTCAGTACGTATAAAAGACTCCCAAAATTTGGAACTCCCAGCAAGATGATTCTGAAGATTCCCTATCTGCCAGTCGCTTCAGAAGTATTGTTAAAAAGTACTTCCTTTCATTAATGTGGCTTAAGACAGCAACATTCTATCTTCAAACACATCTTGTAATCTGTTGTACTTGTTTCTGCTATTTTTCTACCTTCATATTTTGAACCATGTTTCATTTCCATTCATTCAGGTATAGCTGTTGTACTAACAATTATAAACTAAATAATCATTATATTTAATGCATCATATCCATGTCTACTGATATAAACTTCGGATAACTTATATTATATCGTAAAAAGTTCATAAATAAGATCCATTCAATATTTTCTAACTAGACAATTTAATTTTATTTTATGAATTATATTGGACACTATATTATTTTGCAACTTCCTGTTAGTATCATGTATAGACTGTTAAAAATAAATAAAATTATGTATCCCTAAAAACTATGCTAAGTTTTGCCCCAAATGCTGTGCATCCTCAGGTCTTTCTGATTATTGTTTATTTTGTAAATGCAGCGAATGAAAAAAGTCTAAATTTAAATCTTAAAAACCTCCGTTTGAGGTTTAGCTCGTATTATTATTATTGTTGTTATAATTAAGGGGAAGCGCTAAACCCGTAGGATTATACAGCGCTTGTGGGGGGGGGAGATGTAGAATGTATTCAGGCTTAATTCAGGGAACTGGAGCACAGATCCAATTCCCTAGATCAAGAGCCCCTCACCAGCGTTAAGGAACCTTCCTTGAGGGGATAGCTTTCGGTGCTGCCAACTGGGAAGATGGAAAAAAAATGTTACATGTTATACACGGGGTAACATGACATTGTAGCCACCTAGTACATCGAACACCAATGGCGTCTGGAAGATGTCATTGCTGTTCTGTGTGGTCTTACAGTTGATAGGATAGTAGCCTTGTTATCAGAAATGTTGAGTAGCAATTAAAACAGGTACTTGATAATCAAAACGGCTTCGTAATCAACATAACAATCAACAAGTGATGTTTCACTGTATTTTTCTATTATTATTATTAATATGACTCACGAAATCGTAATGACACGATTGCGAACAAACCATACCACGGGCGGGGATAGAACCCGCGATCAGAGAGTCAAAACTCCAGACCGTCGCCTTAGCCACTGGACCAGCTAGCCACAATAAGATTCGTCCAACTAGATATATTTCTATACCATAGGAAGGTTAGCACAGGCACCACTGTGACCACAAATGAAAGTTTTTACAGACGAATCTCCAGCTAGCGCGGCCGTGACGAACTCTAGCTCAAGTCCCCTCAAAGCCGTCGACATGACAAGGCTAGCTGGTCCAGTGGCTAACGCAACGGTCTGAAGTTTTGAGACTCTCTGATCGTGGGTTCTATCCCCACCCGTGGCATGGTTTATTATTATTATTATTATTATTATTATTATTATTATTGCTGTTATTAAACCAGGGGAATAAACTGCCTCACCTGATGCAACTAAGATCATTCAGTGAGACAATAGATTGGGTAGTGGTAGTTCGGATGATTCTCTGAATTAAGATATGAGTGATGCAGGGGTTAAATTAAGGTTAACCATTCTTAAGAATAGGGATGGACAAGGAGCGGGGCAGTTTGGCTTGTCCACTAATACCAGGTGGTAGGTATGTGTGGGGCAGGAAGTTGGCTTAGACTATATACTGAGACAAAGAAGCAGGGAAGAGAGGGCAGCTCACCTCAACAGCCTTGGTGTAGAGGCCAGCGGTGGCGCGAACCTGCAGCATGTACGAGGACTTGCGACCCTCGTTGCGTGCCCCAGCACCTGCAATACCACCAGCAGCAATCACCGCACAGCGGTAAACATTGTTGGTGTTGTGTGAATGTTGTTAAGCGTTGTGGGAGCGTTCATGTTGTTGTGTGAATGTTGTTAAACGTTGTGGGAAAGTTCATGGTGTGTAAATGTTGTGTTATGGGAACGCTCAGGCTGTTGTGTGAACGTTGTTAGCGTTGTGGGAACGTTCTTTGGGTGATGAGTGAACGTTGTGCTATAGGAACGTTGGTGAAAGGATTCTTATATTGTTAATGCTGTAGGACATAAATTAATGTTATGTGAATATTTGAGGTATTTTAAGACGGTTAATGTAAGAATTTTCCAGATTGTTGCAGGATGTTTAATTTGTAGAACATAACTGTTGTGACGCTGTAGATGTTGTAAGTGTTGTTGGAGATCTCAAGTTGTGCTCACCTAATTGTGGTTGCAGGGGTCGAGACTCAGCTCCTGGCCCCTGTGTGAGTGTTGTGTGGTGTATCTTACTGTTAGCTGGTACTGTAATGTGTTATAATCTTGTTTTCGCAGCAGTTTGTCTGCTGAAAGTTGTTGTTGATATTAACTGTAGACACCAGTGTTATTTACCATTTGTCAAAGGCACTTATCGATATGACACTTGACCTTTTGAGTGTGAATATAGTTAAAAAAAAAAATACCACGGGTGGGGTTAAAACCCGCAGAGTAACAAATATAGTTTGTGTGTGTGTGTGTAATGAGTCAAGAGCTTGTGAAGATGGGCTGTATATAACCGTTAGTATGTGTAATGCGTCTGTATGACTACGTGTACAGTGAGTCAGAACTAGTGAACATGGGCATTATGTTAACGTGCGTAGTGAGTGAATACCTCGTGAAGATGTCCTAGTGTGTCAATGTTTGTGAAAACATGTGTGTGATTAAAACTACTTGGAATGTATTACATACGTTAGCATATCTGTTACGTCAACAATTTTTTCCATTCATTACTAATAAGAGGGGATAATTTATTAAGGCATGTCAACAGCTGTCTTCACAAATAATATAAAAAACTACCATCATCTTACTTCATCTTTTCCACACCCATCACCTTCCCGATACTCGTCTTCGCTACCCACCACCCACCCACTACTCACCATCAAATGAGGAAGCGTAGCCACCTTCGAAGACGACCATCTGGCCACCGAAGATGGCCATGAAGTGTGGAGGTTCCTTCTCCTGAACCACCCTCACTTGCACGGCTCGGCCGTGCAACTTGTCATCCAGCTCCACTGCCTTCAGAGCGGCCGTCCCCGCCTCGTCCTGACTCGCGTCGTTACCCTGTTAGGGTGAACACTTACTTGTTAGGTACAAAAGTGACAGGTGTAGGCACACATATATGGACTAGGTACACAGGTGGTGGCGTAGGTACACGGTTGGTGTAGGTGCAGAGTGTAGAACAGGTGGTGGGTGAAGGTATACACATGTAATAGATACATAAATAGTGGTTCAGCGCTGTATGTTGCATATGCAAATTACACAACAGAAGAATTCGATTCAGAGGTGTCCCTTTTAGCAGATGACGTGAAACTAATAAGAATAAAAACTAAAGTAGATCAGGTAAAACTACAATTGGATCTGGAGAAGCTGCAGGATTGTTGTGACAAGTGGATATAAAAATTTAACCCCAATAAATGCAAAGTTATGGAAATCGGGGAAGGGTAAAGATGACTGGAAACGGAATACCGACTTACGGAACAAAAGCTGCAAATCTCACAGAAAGAAGACCTCGGGGTGAGCACAGTTTCGATCATATCGCCTGAAGCATATATCAAACGAAAAACTACCACAACAAAGGTGAGACTTAGAAATTCAAGGGTAGCTTTCAGGAACCTGAACAAGGAGTCATTCACAACCTAGACAGCGAAGTGATAGAGAGAAGATAGACATGATAGAGCTCAGGCAGCCAGGAGAGAGAAAACCCGGTAGAGGCCAGTGGAGAGGAGGGACTAGGAGATGAGACTCAACTCCTCCAACCACAAATAAGTGCGCACAGGTTGAAGAGAACACAATTGTTGGTATGCATGAGGCACATAAAGGGCCGAGACAAGTGTATAACAACATAACGAATGATTCATTACGTCACTAAGGTGCACCCGTCCCTAGCTTATTCCCTGAAGTTCTTACTTCTCTCACATATTCCGTGGCTTAGCGCTTCTTTTTGATTATAATAATAATAATAATCTCAAATATTCTCTTCATGAAATTAATCCTTTTCACTTTCTTTAACAATTTCTGTTCTAGATATTCACTTGTTTCTAGAGCACAACTTTTCAGTGATACATTACTACTTTACAGTTTTAAAATTATTACTTTCTGTTTAATATAAATACTTTCTAACTACACACATCAAACTTTTCTTAGACTCATCAAAAGTCATACAGCATCTTGAGAATGAGAGGTACTCAGGTTTGATCCAAGGAAGGGAAGGATCTCTCTAGTTCCTAGTATCACAGTCGTTCACCAACATCAAGGAACGTTTCACCCAAGCATTACTACTTTAAAGCAAAACATCAATATTTTCCAGATACGCATCAACAATTATTAAAAAATTAACTACGTATATTAATATGAGTGTCAGCGAGGGAGAACAACGACTCTTTATTAGCACACCTGCTCTCAGTCAGTGCTTTATTTCTTTGTTAACTATAACATGTGTAATAAAGATATTACGCCCTAACATGTGTGATAAAGTTACTTTCAACTTACCTACAATGGCACAATAACACTACATAATTCCTCAAATTTAATAACAAAAATTTTGTCTGGTTCTTACAAGAAACTGTAAACAAATAATATTTTACAAAATTCTTGAGCATTTCCAGTTACTATTAACGTTTAAAAAACTAACATTCTAGCTGCTTATGCTGAAAATGGTATAAAATACAGACAAGTTGAAGCTTCAGTTTCATATCTTTCGAGACCATGGAAGATGAACGCTTCTCCTGGCTGAGGGACTGATCACCTCAAATACTTTTTCTCCAGCGTTGGTGAATTGATTACATCATCTTCATTTCACTACTACTACACCTACTGTATTTGACTGGAGAAGCCTACTGTGTAGGCGAAACGTTTCAACAATAACGATACCAAACTGTCTGCACATGTGTCTTGCTCTTCATTCTAGCTGGTGCTTGGAATAATGCTAGCATGTGTGCCTCGCACTCAGCAGTGGAGGTGGAAGCTCCATGCACAGAATATACACACCGAGAGATATATTTCGCCTCCTGGTAAAAAAGTGGTCTTAATGATTCTAGTGTAGACTTTAAACTCCATTAACCATCCAACCAACCTCGTTGTGCTAAATGGTCCACACGGGTGTTGATGCTGGAGTGTGGGCAAGGTATCGTTTATGATAAGATTTAGGGAAACCATTTAGCTGGACTTGAGCTCAGGTGGGAAGTGCAATGTCTGCACTCTGAAGAATACTTGGGGATGTTGCAGTTATAGAAATAATTTGAACTATGATTTCCATACGCTTCTTTAAAGACAGCTTGGGCATGAGTGATCATCAATGTGATTTATACTCCGAGCCACTCTACGGTATCGGGAAACGATCGATGTAGTGTCATAGGTAAAGGTAACATTTTAGCATGTATGATGTTATTAGCGCAGTGTGATAACTTACTATCATGCGTGATATTACCGCAGTACTCATATATTATGTGCTTGTAGGGGTCGAGTTTCAGCCCCTGGTCCAGTCCCTTCGCTGGCCACCATCCGGATTCACTTTCTCCTGGTTTAGAGAACCCTATTGTATCTCTTTAAAGCTAGGTATGTATCTTGTATCTACCACTCCACTGTCCAGATTATTCCACTTCCTGACTACTGTAAAGCTGAAGAAACACTTCCTAATGTTTCTATAACTAATCTGTGTTTTCAACTTCTAGCTGTGCTCTCGTAATTCCGTTTCCTGTCTCAAACAATCTGTCCCTGTCTGCCCTATCTTTTCCTTTCAGTACTTTGCACATCGTTATTAAATCACCCCTAGTTCTAATGCACTTTAATTTTATCAGGTTTAACTCCTTTAATCTCTTCTCATAACTCATTTCCCTTAGCTCCGAAACTAGTCTCATTGCAAGCCTCTGCACTTTCTCCATTTTCTTGACATGCTTGATCAAGTGTGGGTTCTGTACTGGTGCTGCATACTCCAATACAGATCTAACATTTGCCGTATATAGTGTTGTGAATTGCTCCTTGCTTTGGTTCCTCAAAGTTGATCTTAGATTTTCTAGGTAAAATACCCAACCCGATGTCTTTCTTGAGTGAGGATAGTAGCTTTTGCTCTCTGAGCCCGTACTCTTTCTGCAATCTTCTTTACCAGTCTCCAATCTTCATAACTTTGAATTTGTTGGGGTTAAACTCTAATAGCTACTTGTGTGACCAGACCTGTGATATCTTAGGATCACGTTGTGTTATTACCACAACAATATTGTAACCTACAATCATGTTGTATTACCTCAGCAGTGTGATAACCGACAGTTATGAGGTGTTATTACCGTAGCAGTGTGATAACTTACGATCCAGTAGTAGAGTATGTAGTGTTCAGTGCTGCCGTGAAGGTAGGCGTAGAGGACGATGTAGCAGTCACCCATGAAGAACTCCCCGTACTGTTCTTCTGGTACTGCCTCCAGCTCGAAGTTATTCACTCTGGCAACACAACATTAAGGTTACAACGATGACATACCTTCAAGGAGTGTCACCCTCAATGTTACTCACTGACTCTTAATCGTTCTATAAGCGTTGTATGTCTCATAAAATTTAGCTCTTCTCAATATTGCTACTGATACTACTACTACTACTAAAGAGATGACGATCTGCTGTGTAGTCCTGGAGAGTTAGATTTGTTTAGACATTCTTACGGTATACAGGACTGATCATGGACTTGTAACCTCAGGCAGCTTACAAACATCTAGTCAAAATTAAAAACGTTATAAATACACACCTCTTCACTATGTCTTTGTACCAAAAGGACACTAGAAAAAAATTCATCACATACAGAGTGGTGGAACAGGTGACTGAATTAAGAGAGAAGGTTGTATTTACTTCACCCAAATAAGTATAGATGAAAAAATTACTGAAGACGGGACACCATGAATATAACACTGTTCTTGCGGCAAAAAAAAGTAATGCCAAACAGGTAAATATAAAGGATCAAGTACCTCCACACTTCCTTCTGACCGCTGCCATCATCTACCATCTGCGTCTTGGCAGCGAGCTCAGGTTTGGAGTGCAGAGAACTGGCGTCGAACTTAGTCTGGACGGTGGTGGCTATCTTGGTGGCTGTTTGGATAGTGAGAGTTAGTGGTGGTGGTTGTGTGTGTGGGAGAGTGTGAGAGCTAGTGGTGGTGGTTGTGTGTGTGGGAGAGTGAGAGCTAGTGGTGGTGGTTGTGTGTGGGAGAGTGAGAGTTAGTGGTGGTGGTTGTGTGTGTGGGAGAGTGTGAGAGCTAGTGGTGGTGGTTGTGTGTGTGGGAGAGTGAGAGCTAGTGGTGGTGGTTTGTGTGTGGGAGAGTGAGAGTTAGTGGTGGTGGTTGTGTGTGTGGGAGAGTGAGAGCTAGTGGTGGTGGTTGTGTGTGGGAGAGTGAGAGTTAGTGGTGGTGGTTGTGTGTGTGGGAGAGTGAGAGCTAGTGGTGGTGGTTGTGTGTGTGGGAGAGTGAGAGCTAGTGGTGGTGGTTGTGTGTGGGAGAGTGAGAGTTAGTGGTGGTGGTTGTGTGTGTGGGAGAGTGAGAGCTAGTGGTGGTGGTTGTGTGTGGGAGAGTGAGAGTTAGTGGTGGTGGTTGTGTGTGTGGGAGAGTGAGAGCTAGTGGTGGTGGTTGTGTGTGGGAGAGTGAGAGTTAGTGGTGGTGGTTGTGTGTGTGGGAGAGTGAGAGCTAGTGGTGGTGGTTGTGTGTGGGAGAGTGAGAGCTAGTGGTGGTGGTTGTGTGTGTGGGAGAGTGAGAGCTAGGGTGGTGTTGTGTGTGTGGGAGAGTGAGAGCTAGTGGTGGTGGTTGTGTGTGTGGGAGAGTGAGAGTTAGTGGTGGTGGTTGTGTGTGTGGGAGAGTGAGAGTTAGTGGTGGTGGTTGTGTGTGTGGGAGAGTGAGAGCTAGTGGTGGTGGTTGTGTGTGGGAGAGTGAGAGTTAGTGGTGGGGGTTGTGTGTGTTTGGGAGAGTGAGAGTTAGTGGTGGTGGTTGTGTGTGTGGGAGAGTGAGAGCTAGTGGTGGTGGTTGTGTGTGTGGGAGAGTGAGAGCTAGTGGTGGTGGTTGTGTGTGTGGGAGAGTGAGAGCTAGTGGTGGTGGTTGTGTGTGTGGGAGAGTGAGAGCTAGTGGTGGTGGTTGTGTGTGTGGGAGAGTGAGAGCTAGTGGTGGTGGTTGTGTGTGTGGGAGAGTGAGAGCTAGTGGTGGTGGTTGTGTGTGTGGAGAGTGAGAGTTAGTGGTGGGTGGTGGTTGTGTGTGTGGGAGAGTGAGAGTTAGTGGTGGTGGTTGTTGTGTGTGGGAGAGTGTGAGAGCTAGTGGTGGTGGTTGTGTGTGTGGGAGAGTGAGAGCTAGTGGTGGTGGTTGTGTGTGTGTGGGAGAGAGAGTTAGTGGTGGTGGTTGTGTGTGTGGGAGAGTGTGAGAGCTAGTGGTGGTGGTTGTGTGTGTGGGAGAGTGAGAGCTAGAGGTGGTGGTTGTGTGTGGGAGAGTGAGAGCTAGTGGTGGTGGTTGTGTGTGTGGGAGAGTGAGAGCTAGTGGTGGTGGTTGTGTGTGTGGGAGAGAGAGTTTGTGGTGGTGGTTGTGTGTGTGGGAGAGAGAGTTAGTGGTGGTGGTTGTGTGTGTGGGAGAGTGTGAGAGCTAGTGGTGGTGGTTGTGTGTGTGGGAGAGTGAGAGCTAGAGGTGGTGGTTGTGTGTGTGGGAAAGTGAGAGCTAGTGGTGGTGGTTGTGTGTGTGGGAGAGTGAGAACTAGTGGAGGTGGTTGTGTGTGTGGGAGAGTGAGAGCTAGTGGTGGTGACTGTGTGTGTGGGAGAGTGAGAGTTAGTGGTGGTGGTTGTGTGCGTGGGAGAGTGAAAGCTAGTGGTGGTGACTGTGTGTGTGGGAGAGTGAGAGTTAGTGGTGGTGGTTGTGTGCGTGGGAGAGTGAAAGCTAGTGGTGGTGACTGTGTGTGTGGGAGAGTGAGAGTTAGTGGTGGTGGTTGTGTGCGTGGGAGAGTGAGAGTTAGGGGTGGTGGTTGTGTGTGGGAGAGTGAAAGCTAGTGGTGGGACTGTGTGTGCAATAGTGCAATGTGAGAGTTAGTGGTAGTGACTGTGTGTGTAGAGTGAGTGTGGTGGTGGTCGTGTGTAAAGTGAGAGTTAGTGGTGGTGACTATGTGTGGAGAGTGAGTTAGTGGTTGTGGGAGAGTAGAGTTAGTGGTGGTGGTTACGGGGACAGTAAACAGTGGTGGCGGTTGCGGAGAAGAGTTAGTGGTGATGGTTGTGAGGAGAGTAGAGTTAGTGGTGGTGGCTGTGGGAAGTAAAGAGTTATTGTGGGGAGTAAATAGTAGTTGTGGGGAGGTAAAGAGTTAGTGGTGCTTGTGGGGGAGAGAAGAGTTAGTGGTGGTGGTTGTGGGGAGAGTAAAAATTTGTGGTGGTGGTTGTGGGGAGAGTAAAGAGTTAGTGGTGGTGGTTGTGGAGAGAGTAAAGTTAGTGTGGTGGTTGTGGAGAGAGTAAAGAGTTAGTGGTGGTGGTTGTGGAGAGAGAGTAAAGAGTTAGTGGTGGTGGTTGTGGAGAGAGTCAAGAGTTAGTAGCTTGTTCCTAGCTTCGATATTAACACATTTATTATCGGAACCGTTAATATAATATATGCGTCATATGAACATGCTGAATAAATGTAACAAATGAATAATGCAATTGTTTACACTTTCTATTAATTTTTATTCAATAAATTTTACTTAAAATAGTAACAACGAAAAAATGAGAGAGTAACGTGTTTAATAGCCTAGTTTCCGCTGCATCAAAGCAGCATACTGACCACAGTCGTTTGACACACGCTCTTGGACTAACGTTTCGTTGTGTACGGCTTAGTTTATTACTGAATAAGCTTTGCACGAAATGAAACGTTGTCCCAATAAAAGCTTATTCTGCCATGTGTGTCTTTTCTTCACAGGTTTCTTGCTCACATTTTAAGCAGTGTTGAGAACAAGAGCGACCCAAAGATCAATTTTGTTCCACAAACTCTGCATTAACTGTAACACACCAGTTTAATGCCATAATGAGAAAGCCCTTAACAGCAGACCAAACGTTATTCTTTCCTGAAGTCAGCAGCAAGTGGTAGAGGTGCAACCTCTGGTCAAGAACTTTACAGTTATGTTAATACTGTTTGTTTCAACGTTGTTAAACGCTTGTAGATTTTGAATGCAATTATGTTTAGGTGGAAAATGTACCAGTCTGATATTTGTGCAAATGTTTATTTGACATTTAGGTACCTGGCGAGAAATGACGGTAGGAGTGGGGGTGGTCAGCGTTTTATTTTTGGGAGAAATGTCAACGACATTTATATGTCAGTGAAAATGGGGGAGTATATGAGGGGTTAGGTAAGTGACATTTACTGCGTGAGTGAGCGTACCAGTGACTGACAGTGGAAAAGTGAGCGTGGCTGAAAAAATGGCAGATATTCCGAAGATAAAACACCAGTGCTAGGCTACATCAAGTGTATTTTATCAGGCAGGAAATAATGACTTAAGTGGATCTGTAGGATGCTATCAGCTATAACCTGAGGCAGAATCTTCGAAATCGGTCACAGGTAAGAAAGAGGTTGCACAGCCTGCAACCATTCAGTAACAGAGGCTCTATTCCTACTACACTTTAAGAGCATATAACAGTGTTAGACTCAGTTGAGGCTACCTGGTTGGTGTGGGTGAGGTATATGTGTGAAGGAAGCGGCAGTCATGGGCTTAGTGATGCTGGCTTTGTGTGTGAGGAAGTGAGATGGCGCTTCTGGGTTGAAATGCCAGCTGCAAGCAAGGTCATGTATGTAACTTATACATGGAGGACGACAATCAGCGTACAAAGTGATACCAAAATTAACATGTGTAGACTAGTAAACAGAGAGGCGTAGATATAAGAGCGGTAATGTGGAGGTTACAATATTACTAGCAAGCAAAGTTAAATGTGGCATTCTACATAAATAGGATTTGCAGTATTTGTGGTAAACTGCTGTGGATTAGGTAGCGCTTGTGGTAGTAAGTACATATTAATTAAGTTACATTTATATAAAAAAAGATAAGCAGGAAAAGTAACATATTTTATTGGAAAATGGAACATTTAGTGGTAAAAGTAATCTGAAAATAATTCTCATTGATTTCCAAGATAATTCTAGGATGTACACGTAGGTACAGTAACTGAAAAATAATGGTATCATGCAGATTATTATTATTATTATTATTATTATTATTATTATTATTATTATTATTATTATTATTATAGATAGGGGAAACAGTAAACCCGTGGAGATCATACAGCGCATGAGGAATGAAAGGCACTTAGGCTCAATGCAAGGGAGAACAATTCCAATTCCGTGGGTCAAAAGTCCATCAGCAGTCTTGGAGAACAAGGTAATATCTAAATGGTGGTCTCATGGTGGCAAGAGGACAGATGTCGAGTGTGTGTGAGTGACTTACTGGAAGTCTTGTGACCTTCCAGGAAGCTGATGCCTGCTAGGTGTGTGTATGTGACTTACTGGAAGCCTTGTGACATTCTAGGCAGGTGATGGCTGCTAGGTGTGTGTGTGTGTGTGTGTGTGTGTGTGTACTCACCTAATTGTACTCACCTAATTGTGGTTGCAGGGGTCGAGACTCAGCTCCTGGCCCCGCCTCTTCACTGATCGCAACTAGGTCCTCAATCTCTCTGCTTCCTGAGCTTTGTCATACCTCGTCTTTAAGCTATGTATGCTTCCTGCCTCCACTGCATCACTTGCTAGGCTATTCCACTTCCTGACGACTCTATGACTGAAGAAATACTTCTTAACATCCCTGTGACTCGTCTGAGTCTTCAGCTTCCAATTGTGACCTCTTGTTTATGTGTCCCCTCTCTGGAACATCCTGTCTCTATCCACCTTATCTATTCCACGCAGTATTTTGTATGTCGTTATTATGTCTCCCCTGACCCTCCTGTCCTCCGGTGTCGTCAGTCCGATTTCCCTCAACCTTTCATCGTAGGACATTCCCCTGAGCTCCGGCACTAGCCTTGTTGCAAACCTTTGTACTTTCTCTAACTTCTTGACGTGCTTGACCAGGTGTCGGTTCCAAACTGGTGTTGCATACTCCAGTATGGGCCTGACGTACACAGTGTACAGTGTTTTGAACTATTCCTTACTTAAGTATCGGAACGCTAGTTTCAGGTTTGCCAGGTGCCCATATGCTGCAGCAGTTATCTGGTTGATGTGTGCCTCCGGAGACGTGCTCGGTGTTATGGTCACCCCAAGATCTTTCTCCTTGAGTGAGGTTTGCAGTCTTTGTCCACCTAGCCTATACTCTGTCTGCGGTCTTCTTTGCCTTTCCCCAATCTTCATGACTTTGCATTTGGCAGGGTTGAATTCAAGGAGCCAGTTGCTGGACCACGTGTCCAGCCTGTCCAGGTCTCTTTGTAGTCCTGCCTGACTTTGCATACTATACACGTCAGAGACACTGGTCTGTAGTTTAGTGCCTCGTTTCTGTGTCCTTTCTTAAGAACTGAGACTACATTTGCCGTCTTTCATACCTCAGGTAGTTGCCCAGTTTCAAGGGATGTACTGAAGATTGTGGTTAGTGGCACGCACAGCGTCTATGCTCCTTCTCTAAGGACCCACGGGGAGATGTTGTCCTGTCCCATCGCCTTTGAGGTATCAAGGTTGCTTAGCAGCTTCTGCACCTCCTCCTCCTCCGTTGTTTGTATGTCATCCAACACTTGTTGGTATATTCCCTGTTGATGTTCCCCTCTGTGCTGTCTTCTCAGAGCCCTTCCTGTCTCTACTGTAAATACTTCCTTAAATCTCCTGTTGAGCTCCTCACATACCTCGTTATCGTTTCTTGTGACTTCCCCACCTTCTGTCCTCAGCCTGATCACCTGGTCTTTGACTGTTGTCTTCCTCCTGATGTGGCTATACAGCAGTTTTGGGTCAGATTTGACTTTCGACGCTATGTTATTATCATACTGTTGCTGGGCCTCCCTCCTTACCTATGCATACTCGTTCCTGGCTCTTCCACTAATCTCCTTATTTTCCTGTGTTCTTTGCCTTCTGTACTTTTTCCATTCTCTAGTGCACTTAGTTTTTGCCTCCTTACACCGTCGGGTAAACCAGGGGCTCATTCTGGCCTTCCCATTATTTCTATTGCCCTTGCATTTTGTTGTTACGTATTCCATCATTTCGTTTACTGACTTTCCTACCAGTTCTCTGTCCCACTGAACCTCCTGCAGGAAGTTCCTCAAACCTGCTTAGTCCCCCCTATTATAGTCTGGCTTTTCCCATTCAACTCCTGTTACCCTCTCCACTTGTAACTCTACTATGTATTCAAAGCACAGAACCACGTGGTCACTAGCTCCTAGGGGCCTCTTATATGTGATGTCCTCAATGTCTGAACGGCTCAAGGTGAACACAAGGTCCAGTCTTGCTGGTTCATCCTCCCCTCTCTCTCTGGTAGTGTCCTTAACATGTTGATGCATGAGGGTTTCCAGTACCACATCCATCATCTTGGCTCTCCATGTTTTGGGACCCCCGTGTGGCTCCAGGTTTTCCCAAATCGATCTCCCTGTAGTTGATTATTATTATAATCAAGAGGGAAGCGCTAAACCCAGAGGATTATATAGCGTCTGGGGGGGATGTGGAAGGCATTCAGGCTTAATTCGGGGAACTGGAGCACAGATCCAATTCCCTAAATCAAGAGCCCATCACCAACATCAAGGAACCTTCCTTGAGGGGTCCCTGTGGTTGAAATCGCCCATAACTAGTAACTTTGCTCTGCTCGAGTGAGCTCTTCTTGCCACCTCAACCAGTGTGTCCACCATTGCTCTGTTGCTCTCTTCATATTCCTCTCTTGGCCTCCTGCAGTTCTGTGGTGGATTATACATCACTGCAATGACTACCTTGTGCTCCCCAGACTGAAGTGTACCTACTATGTATTTCCTTTCTCCAATCTCGTCCATGCCTCCCATATCCTCGAATTCCCATCGGTTTTATACGAGCAGTGCAACCCCTCCTTCCCCCCTCTGCTCTCCTATCTTTCCTCAGGATCTGATATCCCGGTGGGAAGATTGCATCTGTTGTCTCAGTGAGTTTAGTTTCTGTGACTGCTATGATGTCTGGGGACTTCTCATTGATTCTTTCATGCCACTCCTTATATTTATTCGTTAATCCATCCGCATTCCTGTACCAAATCATCAACTTCTGTTCTAAAACTGTGGTCCTGGGAGAATACTGGGGTTTGGAAAGCAGGAGCCCTGGCAGGGGCCTATGGAGGGTTGCAGTGGGGGTGGGGGCAGAGTTCCCATAGGGGGTTGCTGTAGGGGTGGGGTTCATGGTGTGGGGACAGAGGGATCAGTGTGTGATTGTTGGTTTAGATTGTTCAGGGGTTGTCGTGTTTGGAGTCCTTCTACGGTTGTTTTTGGTGGGTGTGTTTGCCCTTCCACCTGTGTCTGGGTTATTCTGCTTTTGTCATTTCCTCTCATTCCTCCCTTCGTTTTTGCACTCTCTCTTTCAGTATCATCCTTTCCTCTTGCGTTCTGTCTCGATCGAGGTACACACTCTGGAACTCCGGTTTGTCTCTCAGCTGTGCTTGCTTTCTCCTGCAGGACCATGGTTCAAGTTGATTCTGCCTTGAAAATTACTTTGAGAGGCCGTTTCCTTCTTGCGAACCACCCAATTCTCTGAAAATTTGTCACCTGGGTTATGTCGCCCTCGCCTATCACCTTCATTAAACCTTCAATCGCGTTTTTCTCCTGTTTTCTTTCATCATAGGTTTCCCCTTCGGCTTCCTAGAGCCCATAGACAAAAACTGATCTCTCCGCTTCTTCCTTGTGTGTGTGTGTGTGTGTGTGTGTACTCACCTAGTTGAGGTTGCGGGGGTCGAGTCCGAGCTCCTGGCCCCGCCTCTTCACTGATCGCTACTAGGTCACTCTCCCTGAGCCGTGAGCTTTATCATACCTCTGCTTAAAGCTATGTATGGATCCTGCCTCCACTACATCGCTTCCCAAACTATTCCACTTACTGACTACTCTGTGGCTGAAGAAATACTTCCTAACATCCCTGTGATTCATCTGTGTCTTCAGCTTCCAACTGTGTCCCCTTGTTACTGTGTCCAATCTCTGGAACATCCTGTCTTTGTCCACCTTGTCAATTCCTCTCAGTATTTTGTATGTCGTTATCATGTCCCCCTATCTCTCCTGTCCTCCAGTGTCGTCAGGTTGATTTCCCTTAACCTCTCCTCGTAGGACATACCTCTTAGCTCTGGGACTAATCTTGTTGCAAACCTTTGCACTTTCTCTAGTTTCTTCACGTGCTTGGCTAGGTGTGGGTTCCAAACTGGTGCCGCATACTCCAATATGGGCCTAACATACACGGTGTACAGGGTCCTGAATGATTCCTTATTAAGATGTCGGAATGCTGTTCTGAGGTTTGCTAGGCGCCCATATGCTGCAGCAGTTATTTGGTTGATGTGCGCTTCAGGAGATGTGCCTGGTGTTATACTCACCCCAAGATCTTTTTCCTTGAGTGAGGTTTGTAGTCTATGTGTGTGTGTGTGTGTGTGTGTGTGTGTGTGAAAATTAATGTCTAATGGAGTATAATTAAGTTTGATCCACGGAAGGGGAAGGTATTTTCTATTCCTTCGTTCAAGAGTCCGTCACCAGAATTAAGGTTCCTTCCTTTCCTTTACAGGAGAGAGATTTATGTATAACTTATAGTGTCTGCAGCCCATTTTTAAGCTAGGTTGGGTTAGATTAGAGTAGGATGGGTTAGGTAGGTCAGGCTACAACGAAAAAACTACATACATAAGATAAACGATGATAAAACAGTCTGCGGTAAGAACAGAAAGCGAGCAACCACTGTGTGCGGCTCACGTAACTATGTTGTATTTGAACTGTTCAAGGTTCCGTCAACAGCTACCCATTTGACTGATTTTACAAGAGTACCTGTTGTCTGTGGTTAACAGAACGAGCTGAAACATGATACTCACTGGAAGCTTGTCGACCGAAGGCTTTACTCTGCTCCTTGTCCCGCCAGTCCTTGAAGAGCGTCTTGAACTCGGGCGGCTCACCGTTATCCACTACCCTCGACACCTGTGTGCTGCCCACCACACCATCCTCATCACAATAACATTAACATTATATTCTCATTAAGAATAACAGTCACAATACCATAGGTGAAACGGTTTACATAATGGTCCAGGAGGGACTCAAATGTCGTTTATAGTTTTCTCTCTTAAGCGTAGGCTATTTGTTAACGACTTTCTCATCCTCTTCATTTGGCGCTAGTAATGAGAATTATTATATTGTTGGTAATTTTATTATCGCAATTAAATATTATATTGAAGAATTGCCATTTTTTCTACTTCTTAAACGACCACGTTGAAATAAATTAATCGCAGAACCAATGTTCACACACACACACACACACACACACACACACACACACACACACACACACACACACACACACACACACACACACACACACACACACACACACACACACAAGTGCAAAGTACAAAGTGCAAAGTCATGAAGATTGGAGAAGGGCAAAGAAGTCCGCAGACAGAGTATAGGCTAGGTAGTCAGAAACTGCAAACCTCGCTCAAGGAGAAAGATCTTGGGGTGACCATAACACCGAGCACGTCTCCGGAGGCACACATCAACCAGATAACTGCTGCAGCATATGGGCGCCTGGCAAACATGAGAATAGCGTTCCGATACCTTAGTAAGGAATCGTTCAAGGCACTGTACACTGTGTACGTCAGGCCCGTACTGGAGTATGCAGCACCAGTTTGGAACCCACACCTGGTCAAACACGTCAAGAAATTAGAGAAAGTACAAAGGTTTGCAACAAAGCTAGTTCCGGAGCTCAGGGGAATGTCCTACGAAGAAAGGTTGAGGGAAATCGGACTGACGACACTGGAGGACAGGAGGGTCAGGGGAGACATAATAACGACATACAAAATACTGCGTGGAATAGATAAGGTGGATAGAGACAGGATGTTCCAGAGAGGGGACACAGTAACAAGAGGTCACAATTGGAAGCTGAAGACTCAGATGAGTCAGAGGGATGTTAGGAAGTATTTCTTCAGCAATAGAGTAGTCATGAAGTGGAATAGCCTAGAAAGTGATGCAGTGGAGGCAGGAACCATACAGAGCTTTAAGATGAGGTATGACAAAGCTCAGGAAGCAGAGAGTGAGATGACCTAGTAGCGATCAGTGAAGAGGCGGGGCCAGGAGCTGAGTCTCGACCCCTGCAACCACAATTAGGTGAGTACAATTAGGTGAGTATACACACACACACACACACCCACACACACACACCCACACACACACACACACACACACACACACACACACACACACATATGTGTATGTGTGTCTGTGAAAGATCTTGAACTGAAGATTTTTCATCCCTCTTGGCTTTTTTGCATCTTTAAAATCGCCTGCCTGCGATTGTATTGCATATATATATATAATATATATATATATATATATATATATAAATATATATATATATATATATATTTATTATTATATCACACTGGCCGATTACCACCAAGGCAGAGTGGCCCGAAAAAGAAAAACTTTCACCATCATTCACTCCATCACTGTCTTGCCAGAAGGGTGCTTTACGCTACAGTTTATATATATATATATATATATATATATATATATATATATATATATATATATATTTATATTTATATATATATTATGTCTTTTCTCTTAGTCTGTGTTGAATCACATTACACATTCATCTTAGTGTTGCTCCTAGCAGTTGTGTAGTACCTTGGCGGGTATCCCTTTTTAGTAAGGAATCCCTGAGCGTTCCTCAAGGCCTCCTCCCTCTCCTTGCGTGTGGCTTTCTTGCCTACCCACACCCAGATGCCATCCTGCCCGTTGTCCACAATGAAGGAGTCCTGCAGGGAGGTTTTTCATGTCACTCGCCATAATCACATCGTGTCATTCTCGTTACTCACGTTAGTCACACCACTCACGTTACTCACCATCGTCTCAGTGTCATAAGTACATCATTTTCTGGTGACAATGTTATGAATATTACTGTTATACTGACAGTGTAGTGTTCATTCAAGATGGTACCTTGATAATGGTGACAGGTTCTCCATCCAAGGAACTGGAGCTACCCTCCCTCCCTTTGCATCACACCTTTTGGAGCTTAACGCCTCCTTGTGAATATATTAATAATGGAGAAGCAGTATATCATGTTTGCTCTAAGGGAATTATAAACCTAATAACCCTACCATGGGCGGGGAGAGAACCCGCGGTCAGACTCATGAAACTCCAGACCAACGCGTTAGCCACTGAGCCCAGTGGCTAACGAGCCGGTCTGGAGTTTTATGACTCTCTGACCGTGGGTTCTTTCCCAACCCGTGGTATGGTTTGTTTGCAATCGTGTCATTACGATTTCGTGAGCCATTATATACCTAATTTCTTGAATTAAGGTCCCTTCACCAGGATCAAGGCACCGCGCCCCCTATTTGTGACTTGATAAGATGATACATTAAACACATGTGCAACACTTGGGTATCTTTATTGTGGAAACGTTTCGCCACACAGTGACTTCATCAGTCCAATACAAAGAAGCGAGTGTGTGGCGAAACGTTTCCACAATAAAGATAACCAAGTGTCACACATGTGTCTAATTTATCAACTTGTCGGTTCTCTGAACCATTTAGACTTGATAAGGCCACTGTGAGCAAAATGTCAATAGAGAGAAGCATTATACTGCATTTGTGTCTTTCTCCACCCTCCCTTCCCTTGTGACTATAAGTAAATCATTCTGTATAAATTTTATTCAAAATGATTCATATTACTGCATCATTCTATCATAAAAACACTTAAGATTTACAACTTTCTCGCTAGGCTACATCTCCTATTTCTTTTTTCCTTGAATGATCCATAAAACTATATTAAACTGTTATGATTTCAACTGAAAAAAGTAAAAGAATTCACATCAGCTGTAGATCCCAAGACTAAGAGTACAAGCAAGTGTTGTTTACATCATACTACGACTGTACCTGTATAAAGGCCACACTTGGCCACAACACAAAAGATTAATGAGAGTATAAGAGCTAGTATTGTAGGAAGCTGCTCTAAGTAATAAGCCCATAGTCACATAGTGGAATGCCTGGTGACGTCTCCTCGCACAGTCTGTCATCTGAAAATCTATCTTGTGCGTTGGAATGTAACAGGAAAGCATAGCTAACTCTTGTTCCCACCATGTAACTCATAAAGCATACTGCAGAAACACTGAATGTACATAATATTACAATTAGATGATGGTCTCACCTTGGAGTCGAGGTCTGACTGCGAGAGTGGACCATTCTTCACCTCTATCACCTTGAGTGTGCCAGACTCATCACAACAGCGGTACAGTTTCATCTCCTGACACATACGCCGGACCTATGGGAAGATGGTCTATTGAGCATGTCAGACATGAATGAGAGAGACAGTACTTACATGCAGTCATAAAGTATATGAATTGGTGTCACAGTGTCATTAGACTAATGTCTTCGTCTGCATAACCTTAGTATAAGTGCCATGTACGTCCCTTGTACCTGATCCCTACTTTATATATATACTGTATTTTTTTTACCAATAGGTATATTTTATTACATAATATGGTTACAGTTTAATATCTTTATTATGCACCCCATACCCATCCTGTGGGCGGTAGTCAAAAGATTACAAAGGTACATAATGGGTCCAGTGACTGGACCCTAAAGTTATGATAGCTGAACTAGTTACAAAGGTAATGAACTCCAGGTAGATCTGGTCACAATCATGGAAAGTTACAAAGGTAATGAATCAGCTTCACTCCTATACATGGTTACAGTCATGAACAAATTACAAAGTAATGAACCACTGATACGTCCACACCTGGTCACAATTGTAATGAGTTATAAATACAAATATTAAGTGGGTCATACACCCACACGAGCGCGAGCGCGCACAGACATATGCACACAAGCGTACAAATATATGCATACACACAAGCACGCACACCCACACACGCACACACACACACACACACGCGCACACACACCCACACACCCACACACACACTCCCACACACACACACCCACACACGCACACACACACACACGCGCGCACACACACCCACACACCCACACACACACTCCCACACACACACCACCCACACACACACACACACACACACACACACACACACACACACACACACACACACACACACACACACACACACACACACACACACACACACACATGGTAATGCATTATTTACAGCTAGCAAAGTCAGGATATTTCTCCAGAATGGTCTGTAATATACCACTGTGGATAAAATACTTTGCCATTTCTTGAACATTTCCGAGTGTGTTGTTTCTAAATTCATTAATCTGATCACACTCCAGTACATAATGACGCAAGGTGTGACAATAATCCATCTGGCAAAGTTTACATTTCGTTTGGTCTACATCTGGTGGTGATGATTTAACCTGCCAAAGATACTTGTAACCCAGCCGGAGCCGGGCGGTAGTGACATCCAAGAGTCTGCTTATCTTGTTGGATGGACCATAGACATGTGGCTCCTGCATGATGGAATGATGATAGATGGACTGACTTGTGTCAATCTCCCTAAGTCTTAAGTCAATAAAGTTCATTTGAAGTTCTTTTCGTATTATTGTTCTCAAACTGCTAACTGATAACCCAAGATTGTAATCTACTCCCTCTTTGAAAGCATACAGCTTAGCCAATTTATCAGTTCTATCATGCATCTGAAGACCAATGTGAGATGGAATCCACAGCATGTGCACTCTGACTCCACTGTCCACAATCTTACCATACCTATGTCTGGCTTCTGACACAAGCATGCCACAATTTATACTTAATGAGCTGAAAGCATTTATGGATGACAGAGAATCAGTTACAATTAAAGTGTCAACCTTAGATACATGGACGCATTTGAGTGCAAGGAGTATGGCAAACAGTTCTGTTTGAAGGGTAGAGGCCCAGTTATTGATGCGTGCTCCAATTTCTTTATGAGAGCCATCACTCTGTACGACAACAGCAGCACTACCAGCTGCACCAGTGGACTGGTGAACAGAACCATCAACGTAAATAATTTGTGAAAGAGTGTTCTGTGTGACTAAGTTATCAATACAGCTTAAGGCATCATGTTTGGCTTCAAGACGAAGCTTTGGTTGTGATTTAAGAAGAGTTTTGGGGGAAAATGGAGGAATGGTAGTTTGGAATGGGGTAATATCCCATGGAGCAGGGAAATGTCTCTGTTGCCTAACTTGACAGAGATCATGTAGATGGTTCATGCGGAGGTCGGTTCCAGTTTTTTCGATCCATCTGGAAGGATGTTCACCAGTGCTGAGGAAAGTTTGGAGGGCTTCTGTGCAGGGGTTTGAATGGGCTAGCCTAAGCATATTGACCCCAATAAGGATATTTCTTTCAGTAACACGATCTCTAATGCTTGGAATATTAAGTTCTTTCCGCATATTTAAAATTTTGGCAGTACGAGGGCATCCTAGGATGATCCTCATTGCTTCGTTTTGCAGTTTTTCCAGCCCTCCAAGCTTCCAGTCAGACACGAGTGCAAGGTACAAAAGGTTTAAGAGATACACTGTTGATATAAAGATGGCATATACAGTACATGAGATGTGAGAGATACTGTATTATATTTCCGTTCATCCATTATATTTGGAATGTTAGGGTCTTGCAGTACATGATTATGTTACTGTATTCTTAATATTATTACATTCACAGGCGAGGAGAGTTGAGCATTAATACGCAGGGCCATACAACACGTGGATGATGGGAAAGCAATCAGGTTCGACCCTAGGAAGGGGAGGTAGGTCCAATTCCTTGGATCAAGAGCCCTCTGGCAAAACCATACGGATGTGATGACGTCAAGGGCACTTTGTTGAAATAATCAAATAGCTTCTGCTGATCATCTATAAAATGTACATATTTATAACAGTTGAATGACATTTGTGAGAATTTTTTACTAATTAAATATCCTCATATTTGGCAGGTGGTGAGCTGGCCATCTCTCCGTCACCACCTGGGCCAGGGCAGTTCTTCCACCACCTGGCAACAAAGCCGTGTGGGGTGCAGGCACTCACAACTACTCCCTTGTTGGACTTCATAAAAGGCTCCACCACCATCACCTCCACCACTACCACCACTACCACCACCACCACCACCACCACCACCACCACCACCACCTAGGCTCGTGGCACTTGATCACAGACCTACAGTCTGGTTAAGAGCGTGACCTGTTGCTCAAACTTCCTCCTCATCCCCCATCATCTAAGGAAGTAATAAGATCTACGCTGCATATTAGTACGATCACATATATTATTACTTACAGTGTTAACCTTTCTTGCTTTCTCTTGCTTACAGTAGGTGATTGTAAGGAAGTAGTTGTTACATCAGATACTCTTACCTTGTAATGGATTAATGCTTTCTGACAAGATTTTTTGTCGTTGGGAATTATATTATTTTGTGTGCTGGTTTATGTGCACACCAACATTGTATCAGTCTGTTACGGTGTGTAAAAACCAGAGTTTTACGTGTCTGGTTTTTACAATTCCCATTATAGAAGATCAATAGCTTTATTTTACTCAAACCGTGAGGTAGTTGACAACCACAAGCCGCTGCTTGGATACCACTATGACAATCTCAGTACAAACAACAACAACAACAACAACTGCATTATTATTATTAGCAATAAATGTGATGTACTTTGGGTATAATATTTTGAGGAGCATTGTGAGTATTTCAGGTAGAACAAAAGCTAACATTAACATGATCACTGAGTTTGAGTTTATAATACTTCTTAATGTCATAAGTTCGTAATGCTCTTAACATTAGAAACTCCTTCGTAAAGGAAGATAATTATTACCCTCATTAAAACTATTTTTCCTAAAAGCTGACTGTTTGTAAGAAGAAACGAAAGTAAAAACTTTCAAGTCTATTTTCTGACAGCTTAATTAACATATAAGCTCACCAGAGTACCTCACAATTGCACTTTCCAAAAATTAATCCAAAATTTTCTTAAAAATCAAAGTATTGTTCCATCTTTTAAGGAGGAAACCTCCCAAGGGCTTCACTGAATCAGCAGGAGTTCCTCAAGGCTCCCGATCAAGCCCTAAATTTTGCAATTTATAAATGAGAATGGCCCTTCAGTTTATGTAGAATTAGAGCATTTTCACTTAATTTGAAGAAAATATAATCCACGTAGTGACCGCCACGTAAGACAGTCACAGCTTCGGGCAAACAGGAAGTTATCATTAAAACAAGTAACGAATCACAGCATATATCCAAAGTAAAGTGTACAATCTTGGCAGGTTCAAGTTGGTTCAGTTGTCTATGAACTTTACAAGACGTTGCAGGAATCATCATTAAATGGTTACCATTTTATGTTCACGACTCTCATACAGGTTTACGTAATATTAAAGTTTCACAGCATCCCCACACATGAAGAGGACAAAAATAATCTCTCACCACCAGGACCAACACAATACCCATGCAACGAGTACAAAGCAAAGCCCTCCATTTTATTTTAAACGTTTTTCTGAAAGAAAATAGAGAATACAGGATGGAAGTGCTATACACGCTGCAAAAAAAAAAAAATAAAATAAAAATTAAAATAAATAAATAAACATGAGATTCCATAACTTCTCTCTCCAGCTCTCTTTAAAAAAAATCCACAAATTAAAGTGAATGTAGGATATAAATATGGACAAAATCCCTGTTACAAGATAACAGACTAAACTAATAACAAAGAGAGGACACTGCTGAGATGTCTGTAGAGCGGAGGAGGCGTGTGAGAGCAAGTTATCGCTCAAGTGATAACCTTGCTTTTACATCCCTGACAGAAAGAACACCATTACGTCAACACTAAAGACTAACATGTAAAACCAGCCACTCACAACCTACTATATGTCAATATAACAGAAAACAAGAATATACATAAACTCGAATACCCAAGACCTATAATTCAAAATGATGAAAAAATGAAGAGAAATGAGATGTCAAAAATCTCCATTTACACATAACGAACAAAAAAATCCCCCCCTCCCCAGAATAAAAAGAAACTAGTAAGCCAGAAATGAGTCTGGTGTTGTACTTTACATGAGAGTACGTGTAGCAACCAGAGTACTACAAGCACTCATTAATGAATTTACCTTGAGGTGTGTACCTGCCAAGTAGCGCAGCCCCAAAGGCATCGTCTAGTCTTCACAACAATCTACACATAAAAACTAAATGAAAAATACTACAAAAATCTTACAAACCCACAATGATTCAGCAACATACCTTTTTAATCCCTGCTTTCACATGCATCCACACCCCAACATGAACCAAATTTCTATTCCCCATTTTATTCTTCTTGCCTATTTACTTGTATTTCCTATATCCCCACTTTTCCACCATCACCATTCTTATAGTAAAAAAAAAGCTAATTATATTTCTCTTCAGATTTAAAGATGCTACCATTACAGTGCTATTTTAATAATTCTAGTGTATCCTGAATAATAATTATTCCATGTTTCTTTTTTGTATTTCACACATTGTTACACTGTACATACCACAGCTTCATCTTTAGGTGCCTCCGACGCAGGGATGACCTGCTTGTTATTGAGGGGTAAGAACTTCTCAAAGATGGTTCTCTCCATGTCTTGTAGCGCACTCTCTAGGCCGTCCTCCACCACCACCACCTGGCTACCACCGTGCTCCTGCTTCAGTGTAGACGCAAACTGTCCACACATAGGCAGGAAAAGATAAGTTTTATTTAGAAAGTTTATAAATTATTGTATAAAGCAGTATAATTTGTACAGTGGTTCTCACAGCACATGGCTGCAAATGATCCAATTAACATAACGCTAAATGGATCATCAGTCACAAGACTCACAGAGGGAAAATTCCTAGGTATGCACATTGACAGTAGCCTGAAGTTCCGGACACGTACAACAAATCACCAAGAAAATCTCTAAGACTGTAGGCATACTATCAAAGATAAGGTACTACGTTCCACAATCAGCTCTCCTGGCACTGTACCATTCACTCATATACCCTTATCTTACATATGGAATTTATGCATGGGGATCAACAACATCCAATCACCTAAAACCCCTCATAACCTAGCAAAAGGCAGCAGTAAGAATGATAAATTCCCGCTCCCACCAACATACTCCACCAATTTTCAAAAGTCTGAATCCGCTCACCATTAAGAACATCCATACTTATTCATGTGCCTACTACATACACAGAACAATACACGCAAATATAAACCCTCCACACAAACTTCTCCTCACCAACTTAAACAGGACACATGACCACAACACAAGACACAGATCTCTTTTTGATATACCTCGTGTCCATATCACACTGTGTAAAAACTCTATGCACATAAAGGGCCCTAAAATATGGAATTCATTATCAGAAGATATTAAAATAACCCGGTCTAAAAATCAGTTTAAGACTCTTCTCAAAAGTCACTTAATCACCATAGACTAAACGCTAAATACTCAGTACACACATACTCACCTATGTACTCCCACATCATAACTGAAACAATCACTTTGAACCTTCTATCCATTGTTGACAGGAATATAATTGAATCATTGTTTTCTCAAAAAGTATGTTCGAATATAAATATATCTTTGTATTATACAAATTTTGATTCATTCATAATTAATATTCTACTGTACAACTATGAAATAATTACTATCCTACTGTACAACTATGATACACTCCTTAGTGTTAAGTAGACTGTAATCCAATAATGTTAAGTTGGCCCATAATGCCAAGGCATAATAGAGGTTCTCTTTGCATTGCAACCCACTATTGTAAATATAAAATCTCAATGTACTGTTTGCAAAGACATAAAATAAATAAATAAATAAATGGCTATTCTAGGTCTGCGGTAATGGTACATTATGTAAATTTAATTTAATGGCCTATTTTTACGGGGAGTTCTTAATTTCCATTAGGGTCTTGATCTTGATGAGGGGCTCCTGATCCGGGGAAACAAAGATACCTTCCCTAAACGAATCAAAGCTGATTACTTCCCCTTTCCCCGATGCTGTATGACGCTTATGTAACAGCGCTCCCATGCATATAAAATTAATCCAGGTGGAAGGAACACCTGGGGTGTTACTACCTCAAGTCTCCTCTCACCATGTTGCAGCTAGAAGAACAATCACATCCACCTGCTGAGTTCTGGGTATTTTGGATGACTGTTGGTAGCCAGTCACATGTACAGCTCAGGACATTTATTAAAGGAAACGTTTCGCCACGAGTGTCTTCTTCAGTCCTGAATATGATAGTGGAACAGAACTCTTCTCCAGGCTGAGTGTCTTCACTCCTAATGAAGAAACCACTTGTGGCGAAACGTTTTCTTTAACGTCTAGAGTTGTACATCATCATCATCATATCATTTATTTTCAATCAGTCATACAAAATAACTGAGAGCCGTTCATAGAGTATATATTATCTGTCTGGACAACATATACCTACATGGAATCAAATCTAATTAAATCTCATTAAACAAGCGCTGTATGATCCATAATGGTTCAGTGCTCACCAAGGAATATAATAATCATCTTACCTTGTTATCTGGCCAACTAAAATATCAATGAAACAAAAAGGGGAGACAAAGCCATAAAAGAATGAGAAAGATCAGGTGTCACACAGCCCTTTTGGAAGGGGGGGGGGAATGATAGGTAATGAGTTTTGAGTCGAAGAAGAGAGAGGGTACGATTCCTTACAGCACCGTCATTAAGGCTCCTTCCTTCAAGGAAGGATATTGAAGAACAGATAAGGACGATTTCTTAGTACCTTCAACAGAGAGAACAGAGGCCACAGTTGTTGATTGAAGAAAAAAATATGGAGTTGAAAGTACAATTGAAAGTTTTTCAGTGGAATGGGTTAAATGAGGAGGTAAAAAGGGCTATAACAATTAGAAATTTTAAAAGTATGTGATAAATGAGACTAACTATGCTGCTGTAGTTACAAAATGATAAATGGAACCCTCTAACCACAGTGGCACCAAGGACCCACCTTGGCACCCAGGACCCACCTTGACACCCACGACCCACCTTGATACCCAGGACCCACCTTGACACCCAGGACCCACCTTGACACCCAGGACCCACCTTGACACCCAGGACCCACCTTAGCACCCTGTAGCTTCTCCATATTGTTGCTGTTGCGTCCGGTCCACACATAGATAATGTTCTTGGTGTCAAGGACGTACACATCACCATCGTTCATTACTGTCCAGCATATCTGTTGGCATCACCCACCATTATTATGTGCTCATGGCAAATGTAATAATAATAATAATAATAATAATAATAATAATAATAATAATAATAATAATAATATTATTATTATTATTATTATTATTATTATTATTATTATTATTAATAGTTTGCTAATATTCACGTTGTTCTTGAGACTTGTAATCTTGGCCGTGTCCATCTCTGGGAAGACAGTACAAGGATGACATTGTTTATGGATGAGACACTTGTGAAACATTTAGGTATCTTTATTGTAGAAACGTTCCACCAGTCAGTGGCTTCCTAAGTCCAATACAAAGAAGAATGGTGGAAGATCATGAGTTTGAAATAATTAGTCCCTCAGCCTGGAGTCGATGTGTTCGGTTCATCAATCTTGACAGGAATACAGCATATGGTAGGTAGGTATAAAGTCTGTCAGGAAACAGGACAAGCGTTTCCTGACGATGGTCTTAGTCATATAATGGCCCAGAGGTGGAGTCTTTGGTCATTTGACCGAGGACTTCTGCTGGCTTACCGGTCCACCTCTTTAAAAATCATGGTTATGATTATAACCAGTAGTTCAGCCAGTTTTGTACATAAATGCGCGGAGAAGGGGCGAGGTGAAGCAGTCAGAGGCGGCGCCACCATGGAAACATTCACAAGTGGGAGTAGGTCATATGCTGTACCTTCATCAAAATTGATGGACTGATCACATCACCTCCAACCTGAGGGATTGATTACTTCAAGCTCCTAATCTTCCAATATTCTTCTCTGCATTGGATTAAGGAAGCCACTGGCTGGCGAAATGTTTCCACAATAAAGATACCCAAATGTTGCACTAGTGTGTCATACAACAACTTGTAGATTTTCTGAACCTTCTATCCATAAGGGTGATACTGCCGCTACACTATCCTGTACTCGCCTATATGTGGCTGCAGGTGTTGAGTCTCAGCTCCTAACCCGACCCCTTTAATGTAAATTACCGGTCATTCCTTCTAAGTTTCATGGTCCCTGTTATTTATATACTCAAACCTGTGAATGAAGTCCGCTTCCATCAGTGTGTGTGTGTGTGTGTGTGTTAGTTATCATTTGGTCCTAGGCACATGTCGATTAGACACTAGGCCTGTTGTATGTGCATGCATGTGTATGTATGTGTGTGTGTGTGGTGTGTGTGGTGTGTGTGTGTGTGTGTGTGTGTGTATGTGTGTTAGTTACCATTTGGTCCTAGGCACATGTCGATTAGACACTAGGCCTGTTGTATGTGCATGCATATGTATGTGTGTGTGTGTGTGTGTGTGTGTGTGTGTGTGTGTATGAGTGTGTGTATGAGTGTTAGTTACCATTTGGTCCTAGGCACATGCCGATTAGACACTAGGCCTGTTGTATGTGTATGCATGTGTGTGTTAGTTACCATTTGGTCCTAGGCACATGTCGATTAGACACTAGGCCTGTGGTGTGTGGGTGTATGTGTGTGTCGGTGTATGTGTGTGCGTGCGCACACTAGGCTAGGCTATGCTACTCTTTTGAAGATTATAAAATTTTTTCACAATCAATTCCTTATTAATATACACTAATATATACTATATAATATTTACTGTGTACACTTGTACTCACCTAGTTGTACTCACCTAGTTGAGGTTGCGGGGGTCGAGTCCGAGCTCCTGGCCCCGCCTCTTCACTGATCGCTACTAGGTCACTCTCCCCGAGCCGTGAGCTTTATCATACCTCTGCTTAAAGCTATGTATGGATCCTGCCTCCACTACATCGCTTCCCAAACTATTCCACTTACTGACTACTCTGTGGCTGAAGAAATACTTCCTAACATCCCTGTGATTCATCTGTGTCTTTAGCTTCCAACTGTGTCCCCTTGTTACTGTGTCCAATCTCTGGAACATCCTGTCTTTGTCCACCTTGTCAATTCCCCTCAGTATTTTGTATGTCGTTATCATGTCCCCCCTATCTCTCCTGTCCTCCAGTGTCGTCAGGTTGATTCCCTTTAACCTCTCCTCGTAGGACATACCTTTAGCTCTGGGACTAGTCTTGTTGCAAACCTTTGCACTTTCTTAGTTTCTTTACGTGCTTGGCTAGGTGTGGGTTCCAAACTGGTGCCGCATACTCCAATATGGGCCAAAACGTATACGGTTTTACAGGGTCCTGAACGATTCCTTATTAAGAATGTCGGAATGCTGTTCTGAGGTTTGCTAGGCGCCCATATGCGGGCAGCAGTTATTTGGTTGATGTGCGCTTCAGGAGATGTGCCTGGTGTTATACTCACCCCAAGATCTTTTTCCTTGATTTGAGGTTTGTAGTCTCTGACCCCCTAGACTGTACTCCGTCTGCGGCCTTCTTTGCCCTTCCCCAATTTTCATGACTTTTGCACTTGGTGGGATTTAACTCCAGGAGCCAATTTTCTGGACCAGGTCCCGCAGCCTGTCAGATCCCTTTGTAGTTCTGCCTGGTCTTCGATCGAGTTTTATTCTTCTCATCAACTTCACGTCATCTGCAAACAGGGACACCCCAGAGTCTATTTTCCCTTTCCCTCATGTCGTTCACAAAATACCAGAAACAGCACTGGTCCAGGACTGACCCCTGCGGGACCCCGCTGGTCACAGGTGCCCACTCTGACACCTCGCCACGTACCATGACTCGCTGCTTGTCTTCCTGACAAGTATTCCCTGATCCATTGTAGTGCCTTTCCCCGTTATCCCTGCTTGGTCCTCCCGTTTTTGCACCAATCTCTTGTGTGGAACTGTGTCAAACGCCTTCTTGCAGTCCAAGAAAATGCAATCCACCCACCCCTCTCTCTCTTGTCTTAAATGCTGTCACCATGTCATAGAACTCCCGTAGGTTTGTGACACAGGATTTTCCCGTCCCTGAAACCATGCTGGTGCTGTTGATGAGATCATTCCTTTCTAGGGTTCCACCACTCTTCTCCTGATAATCTTCTCCATGATTTTGCATACTATACATGTCAGTGACACTGGTCTGTAGTTTAGTTTCTTCATGTCTGTCTCCTTTTTTAAAGATTGGGACTACATTTGCTGTCTTCCATGCCTCAGGCAATCTCCCTGTTTCGATAGATGTATTGAATATTGTTGTTAGGGGTACACATAGCGCCTCTGCTCCCTCTCCCCAATACCCAGGGGGAGATGTTATCTGGCCCCATTGCCTTTGAGGTATCTAGCTCACTCAGAAGCCTCTTCACTTCTTCCTCGGTTGTGTGCACTGTGTCCAGCACTTGGTGGTGTGCCCACCTCTCCGTCTTTCTGGAGTCCCTTCTGTCTCCTCTGTGAACACTTCTTTGAATCTCTTGTTGAGTTCTTCACATACTTCACGGTCATTTCCTGTTGTCTCTCCTCCTTCCTTCCTTAGCCTGATTACCTGGTCCTTGACTGTTGTTTTCCCCCTGATGTGGCTGTACAACAGTTTCGGGTCAGATTTGGCTTTCGCTGCTATGTCATTTTCATTTTGTCTTTGGGCCTCCCTTCTTATCTGTGCATATTCGTTTCTGGCTCTACGACTGTTCTCCTTATTCTCTGGGTCCTTTGCCTTCTATATTTCTTCCATTCCCTAGCACACTTGGTTTTTGCCTCCCTGCACCTTTGGGTAAACCATGGGCTCATCCTGGCTTTTTCATTACTCCTGTTACCCTTGGGTACAAACCTCTCCTCAGCCTCCTTGCATTTTGTTGCTACATATTCCATCATCTCATTAACTGGCTTCCCTGCCAGTTCTCTGTTCCACTGAACCCCGTTCAGGTAGTTCCTCATTCCTGTGTAGTCCCCTTTCTTGTAGTTTGGCTTCATTCGTCCTGGCCTTCCTGCTTCTCCCTCCACTTGTAGCTCTACTGTGTATTCGAAGCTTAAAACCACATGGTCACTGGCCCCAAGGGGTCTTTCATATGCGATGTCCTCGATATCTGCACTACTGAAGGTGAATACTAAGTCCAGCCTTGCTGGTTCATCCTCTCCTCTCTCTCTTGTAGTGTCCCTTACGTGTTGGTACATGAAGTTCTCCAGTACCACCTCCATCATCTTAGCCCTCCATGTATCTTGGCCCCCATGTGGGTCCAAGTTCTCCCAATCGATCTCCTTGTGGTTTGTGTGTGTGTGTTTACCAACTTGTCGTTCTTTGAAAAAGAGGGGGGGGGGTCACGTTAACACTATTTGTTATTGTTCTTGGTTCACCGGTACTCTCCCGGCCCAGAACTTTGAACACTAGGCTACGTTACTTTTTTGAAGATTATAGGATTATTTTTTCTCACTCAGTTCCTTATTAATACATACTAATGTTTATTATAATAATAATTACTGGTGAACACGTGTGTTTGTATGTGCGTACGTACTTGTTTACTTGCTTGTCACTGTCAGAAAGAGGGGGGGGGAGGGGTTACTATGCTACACAACTCTTCTGAAGATATTTAGATAATTTACTAAATATTATCAGGGTTACCGCTATCTATCTCCTGGTACTGAAATAGGGAGAGAGTGATGGTATAGCACACAACCAGCAGGGCGAGACACTGAGACTTTAGACACTAACCAAAATTAACCACACATAGACAAGTGATGTCTGCACAACAATGGAGGTTCCTGCTGGTCGGCTGCTATCAACTCCTTCAATTTTGTAACTCCTTCAGGAACTTTATCATGCATTCAAGTTTTTATTTTCTTTTTCTTTTAAGACTCTTTTTTTCTTTAGTACAGTATTATGGTCATAACAAATCTGATGATATTAACTACATTCACAACACCAACAGCTGAGGATCGACTAATTTTTTCTTACTTTCAGTATTTACTTATCACTCTTTTATGACCTTATCACTACACTGCTCCTATAACCAACCAATATATGTATTTGTTAATATTTCAGATCACACCGTTAACCCAATTAACTGTTTGGATATTTTGTGTCAACACTGCGGCCAGCAGCCTGATCAGCTGACTGCTACCCTCCCTCACTCACCATTCATTATTATTATTATAATCAAGGGGGAAGCGCTAAACCCGGAGGATTATACAGCGCCTAGGGGGGGGATGTGGAAGGCATTCAGGCTTAATTCGGGGAACTGGAGCACAGATCCAATTCCCTAAATCAAGAGCCCCTCACCAACATCAAGGAACCTTCCTTGAGGGGCCTCCCTCACTCAACGTTCATTCAAATTTAAATTGTAAAATTCTTGATCTTATCACGTTATTCGCACTCTTGAAAGCTGTTATACTCTTGTAGGTATGTTCACTGATTCACTCACGTAAGATAACCGCTAATAATATCTTAGGACAGCCACTAGAACGCTAAATCCTGGGAGCACTATTTAGCGATACTGCTTCACGTGTGTTAGTTAGTTACCATTTTGTCCTAGGCACATGTCGATTAGACACCTGTGTGTGCATGTGCGTGCGTGTGTGTGTGTGTGTGTGTGTGTGTGTGTTTGTGTGTGTGTGTGTGTGTGTGTGTGTGTGTGTGTTGTGTGTGTGTGTGTATGTGTGTGTATGTGTGTGTGTGTGTGTGTGTGTGTGTGTGTGTGTGTGTGTGTGTGTGTGTGTGTGTGTGTGTGTGTGTGTGTGTATGTGTGTGTGTGTGTGTGTGTGTGTGTGTGTGTGTGTGTGTGTGTGTGTGTGTGTGTACTCACCTATTTGTACTCACCTATTTGTGGTTGCAGGGGTCGAGTCCTAGCTCCTGGCCCCGCCTCTTCACCGGTTGCTACTAGGCCCTCTCTCTCCCCGCTCATGAGCTTTATCAAACCTCGTCTTAAAACTGTGTATGGTTCCTGCCTCCACTACGTCATTTTCTAGGCTATTCCACTGCCTTACAACTCTATGATTGAAGAAATACTTCCTACTATCTCTCTGACTCATTTGTGTCTTCAACTTCCAATTGTGGCCTCTTGTTTCTGTGTCCCCTCCCTGGAACATCCTGTCTTTGTCCACCTTGTCTATTCCACGCAGTATTTTATATGTCGTTATCATGTCTCCCCTGACCCTCCTGTCCTCCAGTGTCGTCAGGCCGATTTCCCTTAATCTTTCTTCATAGGACATTCCCCTTAGCTCTGGAACTAACCTTGTCGCAAACCTTTGTACTTTCTCTAGTTTCTTGACGTGCTTTATCAAGTGCGGGTTCCAAACAGGTGCTGCATACTCCAGTATGGGCCTGACATACACGGTGTACAGTGTCTTGAATGATTCCTTACTAAGGTATCGGAATGCTGTTCTCAGGTTTGCCAGGCGCCCATATGCTGCAGCAGTTATCTGATTGATGTGTGCTTCCGGAGACATGCTCGTGTTTATACTCACCCAAGATCTTTCTCCTTGAGTGAGGTTTGCAGTCTTTGGCCACCTAGCCTATACTCTGTCTGTGGTCTTCTGTGCCCTTCCCCTATCTTCATGACTTTGCATTTGGCAGGATTAAATTCGAGAAGCCATTTGCTGGACCAGATGTCCAGTCTGTCCAGGTCTCTTTGAAGTCCTGCCTGGTCCTCATCAGATTTAATTCTCCTCATTAACTTCACATCATCTGCAAACAGGGACACTTCTGAGTCTAACCCTTCCGTCATGTCGTTCACATATACCAAAAATAGCACTGGTCCTAGGACCGACCCCTGTGGGACCCGCTCGTCACAGGTGCCCACTGTGATACATCATTACGTACCATGACTCGTTGTTGCCTCCCTGTCAGGTATTCTCTGATCCATTGCAGTGCCCTTCCTGTTATATGCGCCTGATGCTCTAGCTTCTGCACTAATCTCTTGTGAGGAACTGTGTCAAAGGCCTTCTTGCAGTCCAAGAAGATGCAATCAACCCACCCCTCTCTCTCTTGTCTTACTTCTGTTATTTTATCATAAAACTCCAGAAGGTTTGTGACACAGGATTTGCCTTCCGTGAATCCGTGCTGGTTGGCATTTATACTCCTGTTCCGTTCCAGGTGCTCCACCACTCTCCTCCTGATAATCTTCTCCATAATTTTGCATACTATACACGTCAATGACACAGGTCTATAGTTTAGTGCCTCTTTTCTGTCTCCTTTTTGAAAATGGGAACTACATTTGCCGTCTTCCATACCTCAGGTAGTTGCCCAGTTTCCAGGGATGTGTTGAAGATTGTGGTAAGTGGCACGCACAACATATCTGCTCCCTCTCTAAGGACCCACGGAGAGATGTTGTCCGGTCCCATTGCCTTTGAGGTATCGATGTCCCTTAGCAGTTTCTTCACCTCCTCCTCATCTGTATGTATGTCGTCCAACACTTGTTGGTGTATTCCTTGCTGGTGTCCCCATCTGGTCTGTCCCCCCAGAGTCCTTCCTGTCTCTACTGTAAATACTTCCTTAAATCTCGTGTTGAGCTCCTCACATACCTCTTGATGTGCATGTGTGTGTGTGTATGTGTGTGTGTGTGTGTGTGTGGTGTTCTGTGAACAACATAGTAAAGCATACCTTATGTAGCTGCTTGACGACTGTGGTCCTCTTGCCCTTGACATGGTAGAGGGAAGGCTGGAAGTCGTCAGTGACGTGTGTCAGGCCGGACGCAACTCCACCATGCAGCACCCTGTCCTCCCAGAAACAACATCAGTCCATGCTCACTACTACTTACCGTTATGATTAGTAGCATATTTACACACACAAAAAGCCAAACCCGTGTGGATCATTCAGTGTTGCATAATGAAGTAGTGATGATGTTAAAGTCAACAATGTAAAGGGTGAGAGGAGGGAGTGAGTGTGCAGTGAATAAGTTTTATCTATGAAGTCGTATAGCTACATCACATTGTAAACTTGTCAGTGTGTTGGAAGAAAGGTCGAAAATGAAGAGCATTTCCTCTATAACGAATGGTAAAATTAATCATACGATAGACCCCTGGCTCACTTCAGGCAGGCACTGGACAGGAACCTAAAGCCACTACCTGACCAGCCAGGCTGTGGTTCGTACGTCGAGTTGCGTGCGGCCAACAGTAACAGCCTGGTTGATTAGGCCATGATGTACCATGAGGCCTGGTCACAGACAGGGCCGCGGGGGCGTTGACCCCTGGAACCCTCTCCAGGTGTAATACTGTCAAGACAACTTGCCAGGTTTTGCCTTGTCCTGGGGACCTTGCTGTGAAATAACCACGTATGAGCGTGAGTTGTACAACACAGTCGTGACAGTACGACTTGTCTCCATCCACAACAATGAAACGAGAATAGTGAGAAACCCAACTATGGTTATATTAAAGAGTTTGGTCAGTAACTCTGACCAACAACGTCGTCAACGATCTCCCAGTGGAAGACTTTTTAACCGTATAATAATAATAATAATAATAATAATAATAATAATAATAATAATAATAATAATAATAATAATAATAATAATAATAATAATAATTGTAATAATAATATAATATTCATGGAGAAGCGCTAAACACATAGGGGTTATACAGCGCCTGGGAAATGGGAGGAACTCTGCAAGACAACTTTTGGTAACTGTGTACCAGTTCATTACCTTGAATACCAGAATGATCAAACAACCGGCAGAAAACAACTTTGTGTGTACTGAAGATGCCACACAGACAATAATGTATATGATGATTCAATTATGATACACTATATATATATATATATATTATATATATATATATATATATATATATATATATATATATATATATATATATTACCTCAACATCGACTCCTGAGCCTGGAGTCGATGTGTTTAGTCCATCAAAGGACTAAACACATCAACTCCAGGCTCAGGGACTGATTACCTCAAACTCCTCCTCATCTTCCACCGTTTGTCTGCAGTGGACTGAAGAAGTTATTGACAGACGAAACGTTTCCAAAATAAAGATTCCCAAGTGTTACACAAGTGTCTTATTCATCGAACATCAGTAGGTTCAGCATGTGTTTATAATATCAAATAACAACCATTCATAATCACTTGCATAATTACAGATACCAAAATATGGATATATATCCTTATAATATTAACGGAGTAAATGTAACCAGTCATACATTGGAAATAAGTCACTCTGACTTTTTTGGGTTATCCCAGGTTGTCTACACACATGTTATCCCAGGTTGTCTACACACATGTTATCCCAGGTTGTCTACACACATGTTATCCCAGGTTGTCTACACACATGTTATCCCAGGTTGTCTACACACATGTTATCCCAGGTTGTCTACACACATGTTATCCCAGGTTGTCTACACACATGTTATCCCAGGTTGTCTACACACATGTTATCCCAGGTTGTCTACACACATGTTATCCCAGGTTGTCTACACACATGTTATCCCAGGTTGTCTACACACATGTTATCCCAGGTTGTCTACACATATGTTATCCCAGGTTGTCTACACACATGTTATCCAGGTTGTCTACACACATGTTATCCCAGGTTGTCTACACACATGTTATCCCAGGTTGTCTACACACATGTTATCCCAGGTTGTCTACACACATGTTATCCCAGGTTGTCTACACACATGTTATCCCAGGTTGTCTACACACATGTTATCCCAGGTTGTCTACACACATGTTATCCCAGGTTGTCTACACACATGTTATCCCAGGTTGTCTACACACATGTTATCCCAGGTTGTCTACACACATGTTATCCCAGGTTGTCTACACACATGTTATCCCAGGTTGTCTACACACATGTTATCCCAGGTTGTCACACACAGCTATCCCAGGTTGTCTACACACATGTTATCCCAGGTTGTCTACACACATGTTATCCCAGGTTGTCTACACACATGTTATCCAGGTTGTCTACACACATGTTATCCCAGGTTGTCTACACACATGTTATCCCAGGTTGTCTACACACATGTTATCCCAGGTTGTCTACACACATGTTATCCCAGGTTGTCTACACACATGTTATCCCAGGTTGTCTACACACATGTTATCCCAGGTTGTCTACACACATGTTATCCCAGGTTGTCTACACACATGCTGCTGTGTGTGATGACTTGTGTAACTGTATTTGTGTATACCTGAATAAACTTCTTGATGGGTGGAAGATATGGATGGGGGAGGTACGAGCAGTGGTGGAAGGATGGGTAAGGGTGGTTGTGGGTGGTGGAAGGATGGGTAAGGGCGGTTGTGGGTGGTGGAAGGATGGGTAAGGGTGGTGGAAGGTTGTTAAGGGTGGTTGTGGGTGGTGGAAGGATGGGCAAGGGTGGTTGTGGGTGGTGGAAGGATGGGTAAGGGTGGTTGTGGGTGGTGGAAGGATGGGCAAGGGTGGTTGTGGGTGGTGGAAGGATGGGTAAGGGTGGTTGTGGGTGGTGGAAGGATGGGTAAGGGTGGTGGAAGGTTGTTAAGGGTGGTTGTGGGTGGTGGAAGGATGGGCAAGGGTGGTTGTGGGTGGTGGAAGGATGGGTAAGGGTGGTTGTGGGTGGTGGAAGGATGGGCAAGGGTGGTTGTGGGTGGTGGAAGGATGGGTAAGGGTGGTTGTGGGTGGTGGAAGGATGGGTAAGGGCGGTTGTGGGTGGTGGAAGGATGGGTAAGGGTGGTGGAAGGTTGTTAAGGGTGGTTGTGGGTGGTGGAAGGATGGGCAAGGGTGGTTGTGGGTGGTGGAAGGATGGGTAAGGGTGGTTGTGGGTGGTGGAAGGATGGGCAAGGGTGGTTGTGGGTGGTGGAAGGATGGGTAAGGGTGGTTGTGGGTGGTGGAAGGATGGGTAAGGGTGGTTGTGGTGGTGGAAGGATGGGTAAGGGTGGTGGAAGGTTGTTAAGGGTGGTTGTGGGTGGTGGAAGGATGGGCAAGGGTGGTTGTGGGTGGTGGAAGGATGGGTAAGGGTGGTTGTGGGTGGTGGAAGGATGGGTAAGGGTGGTTGTGGGTGGTGGAAGTATGGGTAAGGGTGGTTGTGGGTGGTGGAAGGATGGGTAAGGGTGGTGGAAGGTTGTTAAGGGTGGTTGTGGGTGGTGGAAGGATGGGCAAGGGTGGTTGTGGGTGGTGGAAGGATGGGCAAGGGTGGTTGTGGGTGGTGGAAGGATGGGTAAGGGTGGTTGTGGGTGGTGGAAGGATGGGTAAGGGTGGTTGTGGGTGGTGGAAGTATGGGTAAGGGTGGTTGTGGGTGGTGGAAGGATGGGTAAGGGTGGTGGAGGTTGTTAAGGGTGGTTGTGGGTGGTGGAAGGATGGGCAAGGGTGGTTGTGGGTGGTGGAAGGATGGGAAAGGGTGGTTGTGGGTGGTGGAAGGTTGGTAAGGGGGTTGGTGGTTATGGGTGGTGAAAGGTTGGTAAGGGGGTTGGTGGTTGTGGGTGGTGGAAGGTTAGTAAGGGGGTTGGGGGTTGTGGGTGGTGGAAGGTTGGTAGGGGGTTGGTGGTGGTTGTGGGTGGTGGAAGGTTGGTAAGGGGGTTGGTGGTTGTGGGTGGTGGAAGGTTGGTAAGGGGGTTGGGGGTTGTGGGTGGTGGAAGGATGGGTAGAGGTAACTGTGTGTGGAGGGAGGTAGTAGAGCACTAGCTAAAAATTACAGACCAGTAGACCTAACTTCCCACATCGTAAAAATCATCGAAAGAATAATGGGACGGCAGATTACAAATTTCATGGAGCAGCACAATCGGCATAACTCAAACCAGCATGGTTTTAGAACAGGAAGATCAAAGGTATATTAAAAGTATGGGTGGTGGGAGGGTAGGTAGTGATGGTGATGATTGCGGGGGGTGGGGGTGGTTGTGGGTGATGGTGGTATTGGTGGTTGTGGGTGATGGTGGTAGTGGTGGTTGTGGGTGGTGGTGGTAGTGGTGGTTGTGGGTGATGGTAGTGGTGGTTGTGGGCACCGGTAGTGGTGGTTGTGGGTGGTTTAGTGGTGGTTGTGGGTGATGGTGGTAGTGGTGGTTGTGGGCAGTGGTAGTGGTGGTTATGAGTAGTGGTGGTAGCGGTGGTGGGTGGTGGGTGGTGGTGGTAGTGGTGGTTGCATGACAGTTTAGTCTTGTCCCCACACTTTGCAGGTTGCCTGCTCATAATAACCACTCCACTACACAGGTTGTCTGCTCATAATAACCACTCCACTACACAGGTTGCCTGCTCATAATAACCACTCCACTACACAGGTTGCCTGCTCATAATAACCACTCCACTACACAGGTTGCCTGCATAATAACCACTCCACTACACAGGTTGCCTGCTCATAATAACCACTCCACTACACAGGTTGCCTGCATAATAACCACTCCACTACACAGGTTGCCTGCTCATAATAACCACTCCACTACACAGGTTGCCTGCTCATAATAACCACTCCACTACACAGGTTGCCTGCTCATAATAACCACTCCACTACACAGGTTGCCTGCTCATAATAACCACTCCACTACACAGGTTGCCTGCTCATAATAACCACTCCACTACACAGGTTGCCTGCATAATAACCACTCCACTACACAGGTTGCCTGCTCATAATAACCACTCCACTACACAGGTTGCCTGCTTATAATAACCACTACACAGGTTGCCTGCTCATAATAACCACTCCACTACACAGGTTGCCTGCTCATAATAACCACTACACTACACAGGTTGCCTGCTCATAATAACCACTCCACTACGCAGGTTGCCTGCTCATAAT